TGTTGGCGACGTTCACCTTCTCCAATGTTGAGGATGGGATCCAAGGCGGCTGCACGTTCAGCCCTGAAGTCATGGTCGTCTTGTGGTGCCCCATCATCATCTTGTGGTTCTTGAGGTAGTGGATCTTCCAATTGGCCAGGTCGGATGTAGACCGGTGGTGTGCCAAAGTTGGAGCCAAGTGTGGCGACTCGACCTCGTCGCAGTTTCTGTCTTTTGGGACTGCCTCCTTGACCTTGGTCATGACCTCGGGTTTCACTGGGAAAAGCCTCGTGGACACCTGAGTGAGCCTCGGTCTCGATTGCGGCTTGTTGGATGATGGTGTCCAGGACCAACTGGTTGAGTTTCTCGGGCCATTCAGCAGCTTGTGTAGTCCGAGAACCATAGGTGTTGTTTCCCTCCAGAGGTTCGTGACGGTGGTCTCTGCTGCAGCACTTGTTGGCAAAGATGGACTCTGCAGCAATCATGGAGGTGATGTAAATTGACGGTTTGTAGTGGGGCAACTTGCTCTCTCGGTCGTGATAGCCGACCATGCAGCCATCAACACGGAGCAGGATCAGGTCGCCGGAGGTGATGTAGTTCATAATGTCTTTCATCTCATCTTCACATAGCGACTCAGTTCCGGCGGGCTGCTCGATGAAGACATGTCGCTTGGCTCGAAGTCTGTCCTTCACAGTCTTGTTGACAGTCTTGAGGACTTCACGGTTGGATTCACGGAGTGCCTTGACAGTCTCTGCAGCTTGACCTCCCTTGGCAAGGTTGAATCTTGACCAGGATCCCCAAGGTCCGCACGGATGGGTGATGATCGTGCAGTAGGGGTCTTCGACCTGATAGTCCTGATGCAACAGTCGGCGACCAGCAGAAGTAGATGCATCCCAAGAGCGTGAAGTGATATCCAAGGGGATGCCAATGCTCATGCCGATGAAGATGCCAAGGAGGGAAATGCCCAGCTGCCCAGCAAAAAGCTGTTTGAACCATGTCTTGCCGCAAGGAGGTCGGCGTTTCACCTTGATGGTGTTCTCATTCTTGAGGATGCGAGAGCGATTGTAGTCGTCGCCATCAAGGGAGAGGTTCATGGACTCAAGCTTCTTGCCCTTTTTGGAACTTGGCTTCCGTGTAGTGAAGTGTCCCTCATCAACCATGGACAGGAAGATGTCTTCATCATCACAGTGGTGGCCATCATCTGGTGGCTCATCAAGGTCGAGGAACAACGCTTGATCTGGTTCAGGTGGATCAGGAGGTTTGTTGGCCCAGGGTCCCTGACGGGCTTCGTACATCTTGGTCATGGCGACCTCTTCCCTCATCATATCCAACCATTCTTGTTGGTCTGCCCAGTCATCGGGGTTCATGTCGTACTCATCATAGTCGATGCGGGCATCAAGGGGAAGCTCGTAGGTCTCGTCATGGATGTAGACCTCTTCCTCAGGGAACTCTGAGATCTGAGCCTTTTCAAAGTCGATGTTGGACTTGATGTCGCTGAAGTCAAGCAGGCTAATGGCCAAGTGTCCTCTCCGAGTGCGATGAAGTGGCAGTGAACTGATGCCAAGCTCGCTGAAGGACACGGTGTTGTTCTTCAAGTCGATGATGGTTCCAAGGGCCTGCATGAAAGGTCGAGAGATCAGCATTGGTGTCTGGCCGTCGGTCTCGGCAGAGTGGATGACTCCATGTGATCCTCCAATGCCAACTGGGAAAACTTTGACAATCTTGGACTCGGCTGCTCCTCCAATGCCCTTGAAGGTTTGTCTTTTGTCACGGACCTTGGGCACCAGGTCATACTTGGAGATCTCTTCTTCAAAGCGATGTGCCCATTCTGAACCGTGCATGGTTCTTGTGCAGCCGGAGTCGAGGATGGCCAGGCCTGGAGGGTCTTGCGCTTCGAGTGCAAAGGCCTCATACTTGACGTTCTCCTCGATCTCTTCGGAGGCAACCATCATGCATTCGCACTCTTGGACCTGAGCAGGCATAGATGGGTCTGCTCGTACAGGGAAGATCATGTACCTCGTGCCGGTCATGTCATCAGGCTTGCCTCGCTTGGCAGCGGAAGATCCAGCACCCTTCACGAGTCGGTGACCAGCTGCCCATGCCAGTTTGACCTTGCCGTACAGGTAGAAGGCAAAGCGATAGACCGTCGGGTCCATGGGCTGATTGTCCAAGGCATGCTTCAATACCTGCTGGCAGTAGGGCTCGTACTCGGGAGAGGCAGAAGCAACTGCAAAAGGAATCGTTCCCTGCTCCAACATCAAAGGTTCCTGATCCGAAGGCAAAGGGATCAAGATGTCTTCATCACCTTCCGCAAGTGGTGGAAATGGCGGAAGTTCAACACCTGGTGCAAGCTGCACTCCATAGAGCCAGGCCTGGTGCCTGGGCTGTCGCACGATCCGTGCGGTTGACATTTCCGAAGTGGTACTTGGTGAAGAAGGCGACTTGACATAGCCTGAAGGAGTGCTCGGTGCAACCAACTCCCAGGCTGAGGGCGCAGCTGACATAGCGGAGGAACCGCGAGGTGGTGGTAGAGGACGTAGTCCATCTCGTTCTCGAGCGTACTCGTGAGTCAGTCGGCCTGCATAGCGGTAGAGACCCTCGGATCGAAGTGCTGATCCCCACTTTGTGGCCATGAGAACCTGGACCAAGTAGCCCCACAACTGAACAGGTTCTTTCCGGCGGGCGACCAAAACAGTCTTGTCACAATCCTTGCAGGAGAGGTGTCTCGTGTGGCCGTTTGCTCCACGATGATATTGACGCTCAGGACCACCATTTCCTCGGGCATGCTCGCAGAGGATTGGGCTCTTGAAGTTGACAAAGCATTCGGAAAACTTGGAAGCGGTGAAACTAGCTCCCGGTCCATTGCCGTCGGAGGGGTCAGCGACCGGGTCATTCGCCATCATGTAGGCGTCTGCATTCCGTCCAGTGCCGTCGATGGAGTCGAGGACTGGGTCATTCGCCGTCATGTCGGCGTACTCATGGATCAGGTCATACGTTGGGGGCAAGGCATTCTCATGATCCATGTCCTTCGGTGGCACTTCAGAGGTGTCCGCGATGTTGATGACAGGATGCTCCAAAACAACATTGTTGGTGACAAGGGCGGACCATTCCTTCTCCATAGCAGCATGGAAGGGCCGCTGGAAGTCCTTCAGGTTGCAGGTCTCAGTGGACTGAACCTCAGCTTCTTCATCAGACTCGATCTGGTCGTGGAGCACAAAGAAGGATTGCGATGTCCTCTTCGGTGAGGCTGTCTTCTTAGCCTGACTTCCCTTTCCCTTGCCCTTCTTGGTGTTGGAGCGTTGAGGACATTCTGCATCGCCGGACCAGTGACCACGCTGGCCGCAAGTGGTGCATGGAGTGACGCTCTTCAAGAAGCGAACAGCTGACTTGCGCTGTTCTTTGGCCTTGGCATCAAAACTCAATTCTCCGGTGGCCTTGAAGGGATATGGACCACCTTGTCCTCCTGAGCTCTTCTTGGGAGAAGTGCTGAACTGCTTCTTCTTCTTGAACTGAGCAATGGTGGCGTATGCTTCAGCCACCTGGGAATCATCTAGCAGTTCTCGATTCTCGCTCAGGAGGGCCTCCAACTCTTCATCGTCGGAGTAGTTCACGAAGGCCTCATCTGCCGGCTCGTCATCCTCAGGAACCTCATCTTCGTAGAAGATCTCTTCGCCGAGGTCGGCTGCAGGGTCATCATCCTCATCTTCATGGGTTGCAGCCAAAACTGAACGAGCCTTTTGGGTCATCTTCCACTTGTAGCGGCTCTGAGGTGGGCCATCATTGAAGCTTCGTGAGCCTCGACTGGCCCCCAAATAATCTCTTCTTGCAAGTGGCTTGCCCGTGGCTTGAGGGTATTGAATCCTCAGGGCATGACTAATCTTCTTGAAGTCATACTCATTGCCAACACTTGCAAGGACGCTCAACTGCTCGCGGTGGTCCAGGCCGGAGAAGATCAGCAACATCATACTGCGGAGGTTGTCGGAGACCTGGGTGCCAGATGATGCCTCCAGCAGCCGGTTGAAGTCCTGCTCCCTTCTCACAATATATTGTTGCATCGTCTCTGAGGGCTTTCTCCAAACCTGGGGCGAGTAGAAGGCGGTCAGGAAGAGCTCGTTGATCCTCACCGGAACTTCAGCAGCTATGGACTCTTTGAGAGTCCGGATGAGGAGCTTCATGCCAGCATCGGTCGCCTTTCCATCCCTCGAAGTGCACAGGGATTCATGGCTCAGCTTGCGAACAGCATCATAAGCAGCGGCCGTGAGCCCTGAACGAAGGTGGATCGGTGTGGCGATCTGGGTGGCGTCGTTGCCAGCTCTTCCATAGAACAGGTCCCAAGCCCGTTCCTCATATTCTTCAAACACATCTGCCGTCCCGTCGAACTGCGGGACTCCATGTCGGTCACATTCGAGGCGTGCCGACATCGTAGTGAGGGCGTGGGCCCAGGATCTGCGTCCGCGGCAGCGCGAGGCGGCAGCAGCGCAGCAGCCGAAGGCCAGGGCGGTCGCTCGCCGTCGAACGGCCGCCAGGAAGGTCGAGCGCGCAAGGCGCGAGGCAGCTGCGTGCCGCGCTAGCAGATGCCGCAGCTAAGCGGCTCCGCCTACCATCAAAATCCGCGTGGCGGCGCACCGGAATGAAGGCACCTTTTTGCTTGATACTCAAGAGCGCTCTGCGGCGTGGATGCATGGTTTCATGCCTAGCCACCTGACCTCCAAGGATGTTCAACTGCCATGCTCATTGACTGTTTCACATAAGGCAATTTCTTGAGTCTGGCTTTACCTATGCTCAGTCTGGCACTGCCAAACACCACAGCCCCTCAGTTTCCGAAGGCCTGAAAGCACCCAAAAGCAACGACAAGACATCACTCCTGTCTATATAGACGGAGAGCAGAGGAGCACAATCCCCCAAAGGTGGTTGTATGGAAAACGCTGTAAACCATGAGGATGAGGATGCCTGTGTGATCTTTTGGAGAACCAAGTTTAAGAAATACTCAGTATTGATCCACTCCGGAGCTCTCGGCAGGCCTGTAGCTCGTCAGCATTGAGAGATCCCCATCAAACTGGCAGCAAAGCTGGCGGTAGGATTACTGTTGGGTGCTCACTATGCCCTTCCTGTGACCATGCCCTACCTTACTGGGTAGTATGTGGGCCTATGTCACTTACAGAAAGAGGATCGTGATGATCGTGATGAGCGAATGATGTGGCGAATAAGGTCATATGGCACTAGGAGCCCCGGAACGAACACCCTGGGGACTTCTTTTGACCATGTCTAGTATGTCTAGTAGTCGCTTCAGTGAATCAATTCGGTGGTCAACCTGGTTGTCGCCTGGTTGAAAGACCCATAGCCTTAATGAATCAAGCACACTTGTGCCCGGCTTTGTGTGACTTTGCTCCCTTACACAGCTACACAGCAGCTACACAGCAGCTCGAAAGATGGGAACTGTCATTCGATGGGTCTGACCAGGCTTGCATGTCGTCTCTGTGACCATCGGAGTGAGAATCCAAAGGGAAGCATCAGGAAAAGATTGAAAAGCACCTATGCATGGTGAATGATTACAATAACCAACAAGAACAGGAGTCCTTGACCAGAATACTGGATGATGTTGATGATAGAGAGGCATTCTCCAACTATCATGAGGACCTGCGACATTGGCTGGGAGTGGTTAACTAACTCTGCGTCCCCTCCCTTCGGATTCCGGGGGAAGCTTACTGCCTACGTCAGTGTGAAGTCCGGTCAAATAGTAACAGACTGCCGGACTCCATGCAGTATCATACAGTATCTGACTCCAGGGCCTGAAGCTTGTGGAAAATACAAGTTCATCATATACCAGCACCTTCCAACAGGTTGTTTGGAGACCCTAACAGGTGGTTTCTGGGTACCTGTTGTCACCAGGAAGCACCTGCTGGAGGGTGCTGGTATATAGTTTATCAAACTGTCCACTTCCCACGTAGATTATATCTTTCTTGGAGTAACCCCGGTTTCCCCAAACAAGGCTTTGCGGTCGCGACCGAGGCGGAAGGTTGAAGATGTCCAAAGAAAGGCTCCTTTTGAAGATGTCCACATAAAATAAATGCAGCTAGAATGTGTTGGTCTTCAATCTTCAATCACACGCTTATTGAATCTCCTTGGATCCCAAATCACAAGCTCAAACACCCTTCAGCCCGGCCCGAATCCTCGGCCCAACGGGCCGTGGCGGTTCGGAAAGAGACCCCGGGACTCGGACGATGTCCAAAGCGATGAAGAAGAAGGTCAAGATGTAACCTCGAACGGCGCGAGCGGATTGAAAGGAGATTGAAAGGAGTGGTGCGACCGGAGAAGCAAAGGATTGGTCGGTTGAAGTCTTGAAAGGATTCTTATAGGATAAGGATCTGCACTGATGTGTTAACACAGCAACCCTCTGAAAACAAAGGGAACAGCGTCCGGAACGGAAACACATCTTCTATGGCGCCCTCCATGGAGCACGTCAGTCGTCAATGGTGGTGTGAAAGGGGTATAAAGAGAGACTGGGAACGCATGGATGTTCATCCCTCAACACAAAGGAGCTTCACCTAGCAGCTAGCATGGCAGAAGAATGGTGATTGAGTTTCATTATGTTCACCATAGCCTGTAATCGGTCTCCGTATGTCACTGTAGTCTTTTAGCTTGATGTCACCACCATCCTATAGGTTGACTACCAATTGCAAACTCTTAGATTAATAACCCCCCCCCACAAGAAGCCGTTTTACCATCCAATTCAGAGGTTATTAATTATGGCCGTGGGTCTTTCAACCAGGCACCGGGTGGACCACCGAATGGTTTCACTGAAGTGACGACGGTCAACCTGGTCAACCTACTGACGTCGCTTCGGTCTGCAGGTGCCATGACCCACACCCCATGGGTTGACGGACGTGCTGTTAGCCGAGGGGATTTGGCATGGGTCTTCGTGGCCGGCTTGACCATCAGCATCTACTTTCAAGCAAGAACCCAGCATAAACAACCGGTGCAAAGCAGCAAGTGGTGCAAGTGGTGCAGGTGTGTCCGCGCTTGTTTCACAAAGGAGGGAGCCCAAAGAGCCATACCAAATGAGTTCACCTTCGTTTGGTGCTTCGAACATGTGACTTGAATTCCTGCCATGATCGTCTTCTTGGATCTATTTCCTTCGGTCTTGGGCTTCTCTGTGAACCTCCCCACCGGTCGACCAACGGTTTCTCCCCGGCCCACACTGGTGCCGCTGGGCACCCGTGCCCACGAGAGACATGGTGTCGAGGGTGCTCTGGGCCACCGTGAAGATGACCACCTGAGTGTGATCTCGGAGGATCTCGGAGGATCTCGGATCGTCTCGTCTCGGATCTAAGTAGGTCTTATCAGCGGATCTCGGATCTTGGTGGAAGAAATCCGGTTCACCGGAGCGGTGGTTGTTTTTTGGATGCTTAATTGGGTTGGTTGTTGAACCCAACTCACCTACGGTACAAGTATAAGCACCGCAAAACCACAAGAACTAGTTTAGTGTCGTTCTTTCCATTCATCTTGAGGCTGATATCCGATGTCCCTTTAAATCTCAACTTCCACACAACAGTCCAGGTTCCCCCCAAAGGACCTCAGTGGCGCAGTGCAAAGAACAACGGATATGGCAAGAGATTTCTATCGATATGCGATATATCCAAACCTTTCCGTAGATTCGACGGATACCCCTACGTCCTCAGTATATTGACCTTCCACCACACATTATTATTGTAATACAAAATAATGTAATATTATAGCGCCTAATTGTGGCTATACATGTGGGATTCTGGGGTTCTGAATCTCATGGAAGCTCACCTCAAAACGTCCTACACCTGCCGAGCTCCACAGGCAAGAGGTGCTCACCACAAGGACTGGTGCTCACCGAGCCGTTCCTACAACCTGGCGAGTTGCTCCTCTCCTCTTCGACCGGTGGAATACGTTCAACACTTCAGAATATACATTCCACATATTAAAAGACATATAAAACACTTATGTTCCCCCAACTTCCAACATGTCCAATCATTTCCAGAGTTGGCCCCTGAACTTCCTCAACTTGAACAATAACTAACCCATCAAGCTGAACACATTCCCCCCGGGCCCACGTGGAGGCGTGACGCGCCAGCGCCGCACCAAGTGCCGTGACGCTCAAATGGATCAACCGCAACGGGATGCCGTAGACCCGTTGCCGGCCTCACCGTTTCAACGACGACCATGGTTCAGTGGCAAGTGGGGTGATTTATTATTGTTTTGACACAGGGGGAGAGTTCACGCGTCGCTGGTTTTTTAGAGAAGAAGATCTTTGCAAGCAAGAATCTGTCCGTGTTTTAAACCAAGATTCTGTTAAGAATCCAATCTCAATGGCCAAGAGATGCCAGGAGATCCCAGAACCAGTCAAGTGCCCGAGTCGGGAGGTTGTCGTGCTTAAGGTTGTGTCTTTTCGGTCGTCCACCTCCACAGGTCAATCAGAAAATCTGAGGTCCAAACACGACCATGGGAGGTTTCAACAAGCTCTGGAGTCACATGGAGTTGGGTTGTTGTTGGTCCCATCCAGGGGCCGTGGACGTGACGTTCTGGGCACCCCGATTCCCTCCATGGATAGCACCGTGACGTTCTGGAACTCGTGGAAGATCTCTTTAACCAAGCTTCTCTTTTCATATACTGTAAGTCTAATATCTGCAAAGGGATCCGACATGATCATATGTACCAGCAGTTCCATGCCGGGGTTTTCCCCTATCCAGTCACACTTGAGGGACTAAACACCACCCCTTTGTAGCTCCTGGTACTTCAGTTTTACTGGAACACCACCAGGGACCTTTGTCCCTTAAAGGCTCAAGGCTCACGGACATGAGCCGACCCGGGTCACAATTCCGCGCGGAGACTTGGTGAAGGGGCTGAAGAAAAAGAGAGAAAAGCAGTGAACACAGGGGCACTCACAAGGGCATTTTTGGGGCCCCGAGAACAGTGGTGAACCACCCCGACCGATCCAAACGGAAGGATTCCTTCAAAAAGGCTGCTTTTCTCAGAGAGAGAGAGAGAGAACAAAAAAGAGAGGTGTGTATTAAACTAGGGGAGACCTCCCAGTTTGACCCCTTGGAAGAAAGGAAATTCACTAAAAACCATTGGGTGCCATTGGTTGGGAGTCCCCTATTTTTCTATACACCCCCATATTCCTGAAGAGGATTGGCCCGGGTGGGCCAACGCCCAGGCCAAGGGTGTCCGGGTGTCCGAGAGTACCAGTGGCCCGGCGGGTTTCCCATGAAAAATAGCGGTCTTCGCATGCAAAGACCGGGTTCTTTTCTAAGGGAAAACCCAACAGGTTTGATGGTTTGACCAGGTGTTCGCCTACAGTGTATGCCAAACAAGAACCATTTTTCTACTACTCTCCGTACCACCGAAGTGGATGGTCATGAAAAGCCCATACTGAGGGGCCATGGCCATCCGTTTGAATGAGAACATCACATGCTTCGGGTTCTGGGGTTGGCTTGCCGACACAAGCCATTCACAACAAACAACAAAACAGTGTCCATCTCTTGAATAGAAGGGCAAGTTCCAAAAGGGCACAAGAGACCTATCCATAATATAGACTCGTGATTGATAGAAGCTCCGTTCTTTTCAATCCAAATGCAGTAGTTAGTTTTTAAATCAAGATTCGATTGCCGGGTTACCAGCACCTTCCATTGGAAGCTCGAGACATCCCAAGAGGGCCCAAGCGCCGACCAGGCGCCGAACAGAGCAGTTGGCGGATCCTAGTAGTGTCCATAATATCTTTCCTGAACATCCCGTGCCATCTCTGAATCTCCCGTGGCCATTGGTATTTCTACCAAGCAAACACCTGTTTGTTCTTTCGTAGTATAACCAGTATAGCAACATTAAGAGCAACAAACACCATATATTCCAAAATGACCAACATGAACGGTGCAGTGCAGGTCGCACGCAGAACGTCTTGCCGTTTCTTCCCGTCGCACCAGTCGCACGCCGCGACGAACGTCTCAGGTTGGGCGGCTATAGAGTTGGGCGGAGTTGCACATCGCCGACAGGACCTCTTCAGGTCGCGCAGCTGCGTGGGCGGCTTGCATGTCTTGGATCTGCGGCTGCTAGGAAAGCCGGGACACAAATTAACACCTACTCCCCAGAAGGGGGATTGTGAGCCATAGGGAGAAGACAAACATCATCTGATTCGCAAAAAAACAGGATGTGGCTGGTATAGCTCAATCGAAAAAGATCGGCGTTCCGCCCCCCCCCCGCGTTCCCGTTGGGTTCGGTTCAGGATCATAGACCCCCAAACCTACCTAGCCAGGGCCAACATGTTAGTTTCCCTATTAACGTACACACAGGTTGGAAAACTGGAAATAGGGACCTGGGTCGAAATGGCAGGGAAATCCTCATGGGTCCAGTACTAACATGAGTGCACATCCAGCTTCCCCTCCTGAAAACCGGACCCGGGTCGTCCGGGTGCGGTTGTTTCTCTAGTAGAAAGCAGCGGCGTCTGGTCCGGGTTCATTGGATCGTCTTCAATGGGGTTAGGTCTAAGAGTTGCTTCCAACATGGAGCGTCTGGCGACATGGCTTGATCTATTTATGATGTCTGTATGATCAAGGCAGCAAGATCTGAGATGACGATAGCAACTGGATCAAAAATGACCAAAACCTCCACTCAAAAGCAAACAACTCTTGGGTGAGTGATTTGTGCCCATATCTCCGCAATGATCAAGCTATACACCCATTGGCCGTTCAAGCGAGCCCGAGCGAGCCAATTGACTGAACGTCCACGTCCACTGGTTCAGAAGTTTAGAAGAGACTCACCTCTCCAGGTTTGGAAGGTCATGGTTTCCCCCACCACACATTGGGTTCTTAATTTTATTGTGTTGTTTGGGTCAGGCTGCTGGACAACATCTCTGCGCCAAGGGGAACTTGCAAGTAGAATTGATTGATTGATTGATGTTGATTGATGCAACACAGGTCACAGGTCACCACAAGCATCCATGCGATTGTTTGTCAAACATCCCCCCAAAAAAACACATGGCCTCAATCCTCATGACACGTCTCAATCTCACCAGCAAAAGAGTCCTTCATTCTCAGAGGTCTACAGCATCTCCTCCAGAAACTCACTCTTATTCCTCCTCACCACCACCCCTACACCTACCAGGACACTCCAACATCTCTACTTCCCCCCCACCAAACAATGATATTTGTTCATCTTCATCTTCATCTCCTGTCTTTTTCCAAAGACGACCCCCATAACAACCCACCAACCCCCATAACAACCCACCTCCACCGCCACGCTGACCGCTCCGCCACGCTAACCGCTCCGCCGACCGCTCCCGCTCCGCTTCCGCTTCCAGGTCCACCGAACTCCCAAGGCGATGAGCGCCAACAAGGTCGAAGACACCGTGGCCCTCGACTCGTCGCCGCGCGGTTCGGTCGAGAAGTCTCCGCGGGTTCGGTCGACCCCGTCGTCCACGGACGAGTTCAGCTCGGCGAGGTCGGTGAAGGGGAGGGGTGGGGTGTGGCCGGTGGGGCCGGTGGAGAGGTTTGAGAGTTCGAGTGTCGGAGTTGGTTCGGTGAAGTTTCTGATGTTTTGAGTTCCTCTTTTGGGGCAGTTTCAAGATGAAGGCAATGTGAAGGTCTGGAGTCAGGATAGTTCAGAGGTCTTGGAGTCTTAGTAAGCAAAACCAATACGGTATATATGGATGTACTGTACTGTATGTATGATGACATCACAAAAAAACGTATGTCTAATTCTATGTGGTTGGACTCGTGCGGGAAACTGCTATATATACCTTCACTGCATGGCTTCGTGGGAACCTCTCCAGCGGGCTTCAACCTCCAAAACCTCAGAGTTCATTTCGCCATATTTCACCTAAATGCTCCGCAGATCTGCGCTCCGTTCCCCAAAGCATCCCCCCAAACCATCACACACCACCCTTGATCACCATAGACTATAGATTCAATAGATCAAACATGGTCATACATGGTCCATGCTTCGTGAGCAGTGTCCCTGAACCAAAAAACATTGGGCCTTTGCTTTCATGGACCATCGGGCACCCTCACGAATGGATCACTTGCCTTCTTGGGAAGGTGATCGTGTGAGTCCATGTTTGTCAAGAGCAATGACCCTTTCGGAGAAAAAACACAGGGTGCAGGTGGGGAGGAGAACCACTGCGGGTGGGATGTGAAGAAGTCCCAAATGAACTAAAACAGTATGTTCATGCCAGCAAACACCTTCTTTTGTGATAGATTGTTGATACTTTTGGGTGGGTTCAAGCATCTAAAAACCTAGAAATCGAAAGCGGCAGATGTTCCATCCAAGCTCCGGCCACGTGGCCCCAGCTCCGGACGGGCTTCCCGGCGGGTCTTTGGTAAAGGAGCTGAACAAGGCCATGGGCATGTAGTCTGCGAAGGAAAATGGACATGGGTCTGAAAGGACAATGCTACAACTCAAATTGGCTGGGTGAACGAGAGAGATATATAATAGAGATATTGCACGTGAGATATGGGTGAACATCTCATTGTGTGATATTTTTGTTAAATATTGATTGAAACTCAAATGGGAGAGATAGAGAGAGAGAGAGAGACTGGGGAAAGAAAGAACACGCGCTTCCCCCCAAAAAAACAAATCAAGGTTCCACGATCATTGTCCATGAACAAGTTCTAGACCTCATCGACCCCACCCAAACCTGTGGGACTCAATGAATTTACCCCTTCTGGTGTTGCTAGTTTCAAAGTTGGTCTGTCTGTGGCAACACAGGCTTTATGAGCCCTCATGTTGGTGTAACAGTATAATGCGTCTGGTCGCATCTGGTTGTATTGGACAATATCCTGGGTGTCTGTTTAGTATGCATTCGACTCTGCATTGCTGCAGGGTTCCAAACAAACATATGGTTTTCAGGCGATCAACTCCTGGGGTGCATTTCACGCTCTTGCAATACTTCGATCATCTTTGATTTCATCCTCTTCCCCAATTTGCCACTAAAATGCATCTTTTGCATGCTGTTTTCCCATGCCTCCGGTCCCCACCGTCACCGTCTCCCGCTCCCAACGCGCGACACCGCACCACCCGGGCCCCGGGCAAAGAACGGAGGATTTCTGGCCGCTGTTGATCGGTGCATCCTCAGTGCGTCCGCAGCGGCGCAAAGCGGTGCAGCGATCGGTGCGTTGCTTCGTCCAATGCGGGTGAACGTGGGTGTTTTTTTTCCCGAATGCGTAGCGAAGGGTTCCCGTTTATAGTTGGGGGTGTGGGGGTTGGACATGTGTTTGCATGGCTTGCGTCGTGTCGTCGTCTGTCGTCGTCTCTCGTCGTCTGTCGTCGTCTGTCGTCGTCGTGTCGTCGTCGTCGCGTCTCAAATTTGCTGCCATTGGGGGAAGCTTTTGCAAGTGACTTTTCATGGATGTGTCACGTGTCAGTTTGCGCCGCAATTCCATTGTGATTGGCATGACACCGACATGTCGCGCAAGAAACGTGATGCATTTCGCTGCACAGGCGCAGCGTTTTGTGAGATCCGCAGTTTGCTGCGCAGTGCCATTGGGATTAGCGTTTGGAGAGTCGTGTTTTTGGGGTGTTGGATGTGGCCGTGCCATTGGGATTTGCGTTTCAGGGTGTGGCATCGAAGCTCTGTTTTCGTGACAAGTCTCAGCTGAAATGGCGATTTTGGTGGATGGGAGTGTGCTCTGAACGGGTCGAAATCATTCCAAACGTGTGGTGTGGTGCAAATTTTGTTGAAGCTCACATGCGATGATATTGTCACTTTTCGTGGCAGGCGCAGGACTTCGCGCGGGCTTTGAAGCGTGGAAGTGCAATTCTCGTGGCAGGCGCAGGGAATCGTGAGGTTGCGAGGTGTGAGGGAGGTGACATTTCGTGGCAGGCGCAGTACTTTGTGCGCGTTAGACGTGTGGATGGGGAAAGATTCGTGGCAGGCGCAGGGAATCGTGAGGTTGTGAGTTGTGGTAGAGGTGAATGTCGCTGTCCCATTGGGATTGGCGTGTGAGCGGATGTTGTTTGGAGGGGCTGGAATCGCGAAACTGCTTGGCAGGGCTGCGTGATGTGTGTGCTCCGATGGGTGTTTCCGCTTGACTTTCGGAGGAAGTCTCGTACGAAACGCTCGTTTTGCAGACTTTGACGTGTGAGTTTTTGAGGAAGTCTCGTACGAAACGCTCGTTTTGGAGACTTGACGCGCAACCCTCTGCGGAGATCGTGCGTGTCGAGTG